TATCAATAATAATTTACTGTAGTAAATTATTATTGATAATTGATTAGAACTCGGTGTGCAGCAGATGATCTGAGTCCAGAGTTCTCAGTTTGAAACCTTCTGGAGCTCTTCTGTGTGACAGAGTGTGGTTGGTTGATTGTCTCTTTTATGTCCCTGATGGAGACTGGAGACCTGTCCAGGTGTCCCCTGCCTTCCCACAAAGGCAGCTGGGACAGACTCCAGCCCCATGCTGACCCTGAGGAACAAGGACAGAATGGATGGAGGATTGTTCTTTATAGCAGGAAACAGACGTTTAATTATAAAACCTGATTTATTTTATGTTAATCTGAACCACTCTGTTGTTGTTTGTAAATATATTTGACAGTTTTGTAGAAATGAACACGTTTGTAATKTTTGTTCAAAATAAACCTGCTTCTTATGACTTCTGTAACATGAATATTATCAGTAAAAACCTCAAATCATGTCCTTTCTAATAATCATTAGAACTCTAGCACTCTAACTCTTGTTAAAAAAAAACAGTTAGAAAATGCAACTATCAAAAAAAATTCCTCATGAAAATAATTTATTTACCACATTTTAAATCTGGTCCCTTAAAGGTTAATGCTCCTGAATGGGACTGACCTGACTGTGTGTGTGACAGAGAGGAGCTCAGCTCGGTGTTTTGAGTCCAGCATGATTTGTAGACCAACAGCAGCTCATTCTGTCAGGATTTATGGCGTTTTGAGTTCACAAACTACTCGTTATTTTTTTAAAGTTGAGGGACATTACATTAGCTCATAGCTGCGCTGCTGATCAGCACTATTTGTAGAACATGAACGGACTCGCGGGAACCTGGTCACATGTCGTCTGTGTTGATGATTCTTGCTGTAATATATAAAAGCAATTATTGATAAGGTAACCATGCTGTGACTTCACCCGTTGCATCTACCTTTWAAAAAAGTAGCTTGCAAAGCTGTCACATCCGTGCTACATGGAAAACAAATGCTGTAGTTTTCACCGCACGTCTGATACACACATACATACATGTCTTTCCATCTTTGGGAGGACCACACGCAGCGCTCACAGCATCACTCTGCGCGCATCTTTTTTTTATTACCCATTTGGCAAGAGTTGGATATGGAGGGGCGCAAAAGTAGCTCTGGACTTGATCTGCCCTCCCTTAAATAAAAATGACTACATGCCGTGAAATTCTTGGAGGGGCAGGCCGTCTCAATGGCGAGCCCCCCCTTTGGATAATGGTAGGGGAAACGCTGCTGTCTACCACTGAATAACCTTGAGTAATTGATCACAGCTTGTCTGTCATCAGACACTGTGGATTAGGACGTTAGCTGCTTGTTGGGAAAACTTCCTAAGGTGGGCAGAGAGGTTGTTGTTGCTGTTGGCAATGCTAACCATGCTAATGATGCTTATAAAACATGGTAGGACACTTTAAAGTTTATCTTACCCCACTGTGAAAGGATAACTCCGCCCCAAGGCAAAATTTAAAAATGCCTACAGTGGGTAGTGCAGGAGAGAGGAGGGGGGCACCGCCTAAAAGGGGTGGGGAGGATATGTTGCCAGGATGAGAGAACGTGACAGCTAGCTTAATTTGACAAGCTAACATTTCTGATCGTTCTAAACAAATTATGTTTCGTAAAAAGTAAAGTTTCATGACACGCACAATAATTCATAACATAATTCATTTAAAATGTGTTCTCCCTGGATCATTCAGGACACGAAGCTCTTTACTGCAGCCTCGGCTGGTCTCTGTCCGACCCAGACCACACCAGCCCCGGACAGCAGAGCTGGAGTGGCCCTGACAGAAAAAAAACCTGCTCTGCTCACAAGATCACAACAGTTTAGATCAGGAATAAAAAAGTTCGGGTCTTCTTCGAGCYGTTTTTAATTTCACAATGACGAACTGATGGTGGACATACAGCTGTCAATCACTGCCCGCTGCCCTGTCTCTTTTTTCCCTCCCGCTGTCTGCGGGTGTTCTAAAACACACATTGGGCCTCATGCAAGAACCGTTCGTACGCACAGATTTGTTCTTAAGTTGTGTGTACGAGTGATTTAGGAGAATTTGTGGCATTCACCAATGTTTTCGTATTCTAAGATTTTTTTTCAGATTTGAACATAATTCACGAGTGGTCCAGACCTGTCGAATATTTTACGAGCAGTCAGTCTGCTGTTATCCAGAYGGRTTTTMCTCCTTAACTTTATATTTCATTAGTTTGAAGATATTTTGAGTTGAAAAGAAATCACTCTCTATGATTTTCTTGACAATAGGTTATTCTGCTTGAATTAGTTATAATTTTAAATGTAATAATTTAGACTAACAATATAAATTGTCCGTCCGTCCATTTTCTGCCGCTTATCCAGGATCGGGTCGCGGGGGCAGCAGCAGAGAGACCCCACTCTCCCCAGCGACACCATCCATGTCCTGGGGGACTCCGAGACGTTCCCAGGGCAGAGGGGATACATAATCCCTCCAGCGAGTCCTGGATTTTCTCCAAAGTGCCAGACATACGTATTTTGAAGTTAGTTTTGTGGTGTGGACATGGTCAACTGCACACACTCCTGTGCCCATCAGTGCTGGGCAAAAGGCCAACAAAGGCAGACTGCAGTGCACACTCTGCCTCCAGGTGGACAAGATCAGGAAAGACGCCATGGAAATGCAAGGGATGTGATGTGCAACTATGCCTTCTCCTGGACATAAACTGTTTTGATGAGTGGCACAACTAATTTGTGCGCAGTCCTGTGACAAAAAAGTGTTGTTGAGCAAATTAGTGGTGCTGCCATTGTGAATGATTTTCTAAACAGCTGTGAAAAAAAATGTGACATTGTGATGTTGGACAGAATTTGTAGTGGAGTCATTATGAATGACTAAATAGTTGCAAACAAAAAAAATTTGATGTTGGAAAGAATTTGTAGTGAAGTAATTGTGAATGATTTTATAAATAGTTGCAAACAAAAAATTGTGATGTTGGACAGAATTTGTAGTGGAGTCATTCAGAATGACTTTATAAATAGTTGCAAACGAAAAAAAATTACAGTTTGATGTTGGACACAATTTGTGGTGGAGTCAATGTGAACCATTTTGCAAATGTAAAAAACGCCTGGGAATTTCCCAACATTTGATGCAAACACAAAAATATTTCTTTTTTGATACATTTTTTACATATGTTGTGAAAGTTTACACTACAGTCTCATTATTGTTAAAAGAAAATGTTTGTTAATTATGTTTGTGAATTTTATAGTGAATAAACCAGTATTTTTTTCTACTCAGATTTTTTTTGTGATATTTTGGTCCACTGTGATAATGAACTGTGTCAAAATGAAACACTCTAAAAATCATAAAGCTGAGGTTTGTGCTGAAAATAATGATACCAAACATGGCAGGGTAAATAGTTTTTGAAGTGAAAATATAGAGGTA